CTTATTTATTAATTTTTTTAATACATATATATTAGTTTTATTTCCATATATATTAAAATTCCATATAATTTAGAAGAAGAAGAAAATTAAATAAAGATTTCTTTTTATTGTTTTTGTCATTCTTTTTTCTCTTTTTTTCTAAACTTGTATTTTTATTATATTTCGAAAAAAATGTAACACAAAATTTAGTGAATGATTGATATTTAAGATAAATAATTTAACTCTAAATTAATAATATAAAAACTTTGTAAAAATAATAAATTATCAAAAGTCAATATCGATTAGAATGAAATTAAAGTTGAGAGCTGTACAAAATTTTCAACTGGAACGGCTCGTTCCAAAATCGGAACGGCCCGTTTCCAAAAAGCAGAACGGCCCATTCTAAAATTAGAACGGCCCGTTCTGGGTTTCACGTTTACACTCATTGACCATAAGGAGAACGACCCGTTTCCAACTTAACTTTTTAGGCAAATTTAGAACCTTGGAACGGCCCGTTTCCCTTCGAGAATGGCCCGTTCTGGGAAAATCCAAATGGGCCATTTTACACATTTGGAACGGCCCATCCCACCATTTGAAACGGCTCGTTCTGGTCCTTCAAAATAGTTCACTTTCATCCTTTGGAACGACCCATTCCACTTTTTGGAACAGCCCGTTCCACTTTTTGGGAACAGCCCGTTCCGCTTTTCGGAACAGGTCGTTCTGGGCCTAAAAAAAATCATAATTAACTTTAAAATTTTCATAAATAATTTTAAATTAATACAAACCTCTATAAAACCCCTTTAATTAACAAAAACAACCATAAGAAAATAATCTTCATAAATATAAAAATAAATAATAGTAAATATTGCATTAATAGAAAATTCGGGGTGTTACATAGATAACGTTATCTACGGAATTTTCCGTAGATAACGTTATCTACGAAACATTATCTATGGAATTTTCCATAGGTAACGTTATCTACGGAATTTTCCGTAGATAAGGTTATCTATGGAATTTTTCGAAGATAATGTTATCTACGGAATTTTCCAAAGATAACTCACGAAAGTTGTTATCTATGGATTTTATCCGTAGATAAATTTCAAGAAATTTTTATTTAATTTTAATAAATTTATTAATGTAATAACCCTCATATTTGGCCTCTCAAGGATGCTATTTCATTACACTTCATTTTTCAACATGTTTTGTCCTTATTGCACATTTTCTGGGAAACTTCCCAGAAGGTCACCTATCCCTATACTACTCCAGGTCAAACACGCTTAACTGTGGAGTTCTGATGAGATAGGCTACAGAAAAGCTAATGCATGTTATCAGTATAAGTAGTACAAATTAATTCATTTAAGTACAATCTCATACTTATACTATTTTTGGATCCCTCTCATTTTGGTATGTCCAGACCGCTATAAAAATATATATAATAATTATATTACCAATAATAATAATAATTATATTATATTTAATTAATATTTATTTATAAATATACTTACTTGTATAATTAACAAT